CCAAGCGTGACTGTTCGAATTCCTTTCAGACGAGCGCGTTAAGACAGAAAGACGTAGGGTAGAGAAGGACAAAGAGCCCCAGTGAACGTGATTAGAGTAACCTCTATAGGCCAAGTGGAGGCGCGCGTGTGTGTCTTGGCCAGCACGCCGTAGAACTGAGACTCAACTAACATTGCAGAAAGACCAGTAGCACGCCAGAGGTTACGACAGAGACTATGATGATCACAGTACGACATATGTGATCTCGACTGGCGTCTGAGCGCGCACGTACCGCTAGCTCAGGCGGGAAGGCATCCATTTAGACGGGCGATCCACGGGGCCTGCACAGCGGCAGGTCAGAGCGGTACCCGTTCGGGTATTACAGCAGCTATAAGACGTTTCTGACACATGCATGTGAAAGACAAGGGCAAGGAGAAGCACGAAAGGAACATGGGCAAGGCAGGCGAGGAAGGACGGACAGGAGAGGCAAACCACTGAACAGGTTACTTTGCAAGAGAAAATGGCAAAACAAAAATGACGCGTGATTGGTTGAAAGAAGGGCATGAGAGGCGAGGAAGGCAGGCGCAGAGGGAGAAGAGAGACGCAAACGGGCAAAGAAGGGATGTAAGAGAGACGTGAACAAGACAAGAGCGAGGCCGCCTAAAGGACGAGGAGACGGAAACAAACATCCGATATGGGCGAAAGGGTTGGGGCTGGCGGCGAGGCCGGGCGAAGCTTACATGCATAGCAAACGGATGGCGGACACGACGAGGAAAAGCTCTGATTGGGCAAGGGCGGGGGTTGAAATGGGGAAGTAGGTAGTAAAAGGAGCAGAGTAAGTGAAGGAATGTTGCTGGGGTGAGCGGGGCAGCAGAGGTTGTGTAAGGCAAGGGAGGTGTTTAACGGGCATGCGTACCATGGCTGTAAAGGGCTAAGGGTGGTGATCTGATCTGAGGAAGCACGCACACACAGGCAGGTCGAGTGCCTAAGTAGTAGGCACAGAAAGAAAGAAACATCACATCCGAAAAGCGTATGTGTAGACAGGACAAGAGCAAAATTAAAGGACCAAAAGACCAAAAGGGGTATATATAGGCTAAGTTCCTCTAAACTGGTCAGTTAGAGTGGGCCCGAACGACTGTAGACTTGAATTCGTCCAAAAAAGAGAGATTCATGTCATGTTTCATGCAACAAAGGACGAAAAGGGGGGGATACAACACCCCACCCCACCGAAAAAGGCCAGTTGCAACATAGAGAGGAGGTTAACACACGCACGCGCAGATATATTTTAGGTCACCACCTATATGCATAGTACGCGACAGTTAAGGGGAAACACCCCCCCACGTCCAAGCTTTAGGACGGCCGCAGCATGACTTCGTAATGTAAACCAAAAAACTAAAAGAAAGAGCAGTGAACAATGGATGGTAAAAGGTCTGAAGTTCAATGCTTTGCGAAAACACAGCCACATCAATATTATGACAACGCAGGGCACGACAAGATCCCCATGATCTAAGAATCTGAACAGAGATGCCTCAGTATGGGAATTAAGTGAAAAAGGAAAGCACATGTCCATCATGATTTAGAACGACGCCGGCAGGATTTGAACCTGCGCCCACAAAGTGGAATTGATAGTCGACACGCTATGGTGAACATTCGAATCAATCGCCTTAACCACTTGGCTACAGCGCCCGTAGCTGTGGCGAGTAATACAAATACCAACTTGTGTTACTGTGTGTGGGAGATGGCGCCGATATCACCAACGACGCTTTCGGAGATGTCGTAGTCACCACGCGGGTTGCGTGTGACCAGGAGTGTTTCAATGCAGCCTGCCTGATGCGAGGCAGTAACCGCAACGACGCGATTGCCGAGTTCGTCATCGTCCGTCGCAGTAGTCAACAATGCCACGATAGCGTCTACGTCTGACAAATGCTCGCGAGCATCCGATGAGGTAGCCAAGGGCGAGACTCCCGTCTCGCGGGTGAGGGTGGCGCTGAGAGTACGAATATCCTTACGAACCTGGTCATCAATTTCCTTGTTTGCAGCCATATGTTCAGGACATGAAGAAAGAGCAAATTGAACTTTCTGAGGTGAAGATGATGGCGAGAGACTGGGGAGCCGCAATTCTACTGAGAGCAACGCCTGCCAACCGTCGGATGTTTGGTCGTGTTTGCATTGGTGGAGCAATTGAGCAATACCGTCTGCGCCGTTGAGGAGAACCATGGGTACAATGGGCACCTGGAATATCGATGCAGCGCTCTTCAATTGTCATGGTTTTGAAGGACGAATATGTTAAAGCAAGAGGTACTGCGCCGCCACAGGCAAGTCATTGAGTGGAATCAAGTGCGACATTCCCAATATAATGCGGCCAGCGGCCCCTCAGGTTCGAATTGTAGGGAGGCGTTTGAGAGGTATTTAGTGGGGATGTGTACAGCATATCCTGTACCCTAACCGGGGTGACCGGTGACCGGTGAAGGCGATTGATTCGGGGGGTAAAGTCATAGTTATTCGATATCAATTCTACTCTGTGGGCGCACGTTTAAATTCTGCCGACGTCGATTAGACCGATATATGGAGTTTATCGCATGTTTTTCACAACTTCGAACCTGCACCGTCC